TGCATTTGTTTCCAAGTTTGAGTAATTAACGAAAAATCTTCATATTAAGTATTAGGGTAAATTACGGGTACATCTGAGGTAACACTAAATAACTTACAAACCCTTGTGGTATTGGTAATTACAAATACCCCTGAACTATTTCTCCGTCTTACAATTACATCCTTACGGAGTTATGAGTATCGAAATCTGGAAGAATGGAAGATTCATCTGAATTTCCGAATATATCCCCAGGGGTAAATATAATATATTCTCAGAGGGTAAATGTAATATTTTGTCTTACCTCAGGGAGACCCGTAATTTAGCCATAGTTTGTTTGTTTGATAAAAGGGTAATTTAGACAATTCATTCATTCCATTAGGGTGTATAACGGGCTGTTAGTTTTAGGGGATATTTGTAACTACCAATAACACTGGAGTTAGTAAGCTATTTAGTCTTACGTCAGGGGTATCCGTAATTTACGCTAATTATTATAATCAGCTTTATATATATATATATATATATATATGCATATTTCAAATGCTTACTTCTTGCAAGAAATCGGCGATCCCTTTTCGCTCGGGGCATTTGAAGCCCATGGATTGGAAGAACTCGAGCACGTTTTCACGTGGGCCCTGGTAAACAATCCGACCTTCGGATATGAGGATGATGTCATCGAAGAGATCGTACGCCTCGGGTTCCGGCTGAAGGAGTGAAATAAGAACGGTCCCTTTCAGAGTGTGGATGGATTGTCTAATGGAATTCACGATTTGGAAGGTTGTCGAACTGTCCAAGCCGGTGGATATCTCGTCCATGAAAAGCGCCTTTGCGGGCCCCACCAATATTTCACCTGTCGTAACACGTTTCTTCTGCCCACCGGAGATTCCCCGAGTCATTTCATCTCCTACCAAAGTATCAGCACAAATGTCTAATCCCAATATCTGCAAACAGATGTAATATCAACAAAAAAAAAATCATTTTTAGATATATTTGCGAAACAACTTACGAGTGCGTTAAGTTAATATACCTTGATAATATAATCTGTGACAATACTTGCTTCTTGACCTTCTATAGCTGCTGCCTACATGATTATTAAAAATTTAAATCAAGTAATATAAATCAAATTGCTTCCGTTTTCGGTGGAAAGTCGGAACTTACTTTCATGTACACATCCACATCAGCGTCGGGCTTTATATTTGCCTCCTTTTCTCTTCTTAACAACTCTGCCAACATTTCTGCAGATTTTTTTTCACAAATACTATCAACACCTATTCTTCGTTTCGTTCTTTTAGTTTACAAAAAATCGGTAGTTTTTCTTTTTGCGGACTCACCATGATTGCTTCCGACTCCTTGACACCTGGCAGAGAAGGCCAAGGTTTCTCTTACAGTCATTTCTCCAATGTGGACATCATTTTGGCTTATGTATGCAGCTGTTCGTTGCGGTATAAATTCTTTCATAGTATGTCCATTATACGTCACATTTCCTGAAAACTGATTATCTAGGATGTTAAATTTCAGCCCCTACTTACTTTTTGTATTTTTATTTTTCCAATTTTAGAAAGATATTCATTTTACTTTCAAATCAGGATCGAGCATCCCGGCCAAAGCCAGCAAAAGTGTCGTTTTTCCGGAACTCGGAGGGCCTAAAAGAAGTGTCATGCTAACATGGGAAAAGAAATAGAACAGATCAAAAACATATTAGCCAGAAAGAAGTAAAGTAACGAATTTGTTCGTGGATATTTACCGACTAGGCTTTAAAATTCCACTGACATTGTTCAGGATTAACAACGGCTTCTTTCTGCTACGAATTATTCGAAGATAGTTTGCAAATCCCTTAGAAAAAACACGAGTTAGATTGAAGTCCCATTGACAAAGAATGGCATATAGTACACATGTATTATATCGAATTGCTAAAAGAACTACCCTATGTTAATTTTTGGCAAAAAAAAAACCCGTGATTCTATTTTTTCTAGCACACAACCCCTAAACAGGGGTACTAATTCGATATAACACAGGGGCACTAATTTCAATAAACACGAAAAATAATATAGAGATGATTTTAGTGATAATTTATAATTACCTCCAAGAAATTGGCGAAGAAATTGAGGAAAGAAGGCAATGCTCTACTGCCTGCATAAGCTTCTGTTTTAACATTCAGGTGCTCGAATCTCACTTCAATCGTCGGTAAATCTATTCCAACTCTGCACGTAATGAAAAAAAAAACAATCATAAATATTAACTAGAGAAAGCAAAAAACACCCGAGTCGAAAAAGAACTTCCACTAATACCTATCGATTCGATTCTTGAGCTTCAACAAGAACTTCTCATTGTCCTGTTCCGCAACATTAACCAGCCTCTCGAGCAAATCCGTCCTTTCTTGAAATCCAAGATCCTTTACATCGACCTCGCTCGAAACCCCTCCCAATCCAAGCAAAAGACCTTTTCTCAAACGGTCAAAAGTCGGAAGCTTTTCCAAAGCAGCCCATTTTAGAGCTTCTTCGTCATCTTCCTCTCCTCGTGACGAATTCGAAAACATTTCCAAACCGTTGCTCCTCCAAGTCGAACTATTTCTCCTGAAGCTATTAGTATTGGCTCTATATACATCACTAATATCCATCTATCTATCGTACGTGCTAAACCGGATAACAAAATACTGATCCATCTAATGTGCATGCATCTCTCTCTATATATATATACATTTCATTATTTCTTCAGTCGGGAAAACGACGAAGATAGATGTGAAAGCATTTAATTGCTAGAGCTAAATGTAGCACTTTAAATAACTATACGATTGGACAAAGAAAAATCTCAAGTCTAAGAGATATATCATTCATCATTCATCAATGCCTAAGAAGATGAAAAGTAGGAAACTAATCTACAAACTGTGTCCTCTACTTAAGGGGATTTCGATTTTTTTCGGCTGCGGATTAAATACAAATAGATATATGCAGTCAAGAAAATAGCCAAGTAGCAAAATGCAAAGTCAAAAACAAAAACATCCTACCACACTACAACGAGAGTGGAGCCAACACATACACAAGAATTTGGCGCTATGCATTTAGCTACTGAATTACAGTTAAACCTCTATAAATTAATAGAGTCGGGACCACCCAAATTCTATTAATTTAGCGAAATATTAATTTAACGAAATATTATTTAACGAAATATTATTTAACACGTTACTTCAAGTCGGGACCGGGAAAACATATTATTTAAACGAGGTTATTAATTTACCGAGTATTAATTTATCGAGGTTCTACTGTAATTAGGTTATTTTCTTTACAGTGATTTTTATTTTATTTTTTCAATTGAGAAATAATAAACTGTTTGTAAATTGGGGATAATCGAATAACAATAAGAAGAAGAAAGGTAAGAGCAAAATGAAAGTATATTGTAAGAATTTAGTATATCTTCTAGCAGTTGAAGATTGGGAGGAGGAGGAGGAGCCGCCGGCGATGAGCGGTCCGTGGTAGCCACCGGCGAGGCTTTGGTTGTTGCCTATGCGCTGCTTCTTCTTCAGCATGGTTGTCATTTTGTGGAGACGAGTAATTGATCGTCTGAGAATTGAGGATATCAGAGAAGCTTTTGAAAAAATTGAGGCGGCGGCGGACCGGCGGTTGTGGTCGTGGTGGCGGCGGCGGATTCAAAATAGAGCCAATTCAATCGGAATCAGTTTAATTTTTTTTATTTCTTTATTTATAAAATATTATATTTATAGTCTTGTACAAATATATTCAAAAAGAAAAAAAAAATATTATTCATGTTAAACATCAATTTAGAGGCTCTAGAGATCAAACATTACTGTCAAACCATAAACATACAGAGTTTTGTCAGTTCAGTCAATTTTTTTGGGTTAGTATATTTTGCCCAGTCCAGTTTTTTAGTGGGAAAATGTATAAATTTTTGAAGTAGAAAAAAATCGTTGGTGGAAAACTAATTCAAATTTTGTTTGAAAAAATGGAAATTGAAATTTTGAAAATTTAGATTAAAAGAAAAATGCGATGACAACTATTTCTACTAGTTCGGGCGACAAAGTCAAATTGGCTCGAGACCAACTTTTTCTGAAGCCCAACGGTGTGGGGAGCAAATGTCATCGTAATGTTGCGATGAACGCTAGAGTTCGGCGTTTCAGGGTCGTTTAGGCCATCAAGGCAATTTTTTTGTGTTTTTCAAAAGTTTTGAGAAAAGCATTTTTGGATTTTAGTTTTGTAAATTGTATTGTTTCAATAATTAAGAATTCTATTAGGATTATGAGTTATTTCGTTTTTTATTTTTTGTGTTTTGTTTATTATTTAGTTCAATTAGGGTTTTAGTTTTACTATTATAAAAGATTGCCTTAGTGTACTCTATTGAATTTCAGAACTCTAAAAAATCCTTAGAGTTTTCTTTATTTTCAGGTGAAATACAAGAGTTTGTATTCTTGAGATTAATTCGTTATAATTTTTCTCTTCAATTGTTCTTCTGTTATGCATCAAATTGTCAAAATCAAAAACTTAAAGATTGAAATTGGTCGAATTTGAACTTTCATTCTTAGGTCACACATAATGGAAATGGTGTGATAAATGTTATATCAGTTTTAATAATATCATTTCAACTTTAAATGTGATTTTGGCCACTTTATAGGTGGTATTTGACAAAACTCTAAACACAGAACTTGCAATTTATTGAGTTAACTTTCTAATACAACTTACATCACCAAGATTGGATGTCGATTGTAGTTCAATAAACACTGCCTACAAATTTGATGTTTTGAATTATCTAAAATTCAAAATGTAACTCATTCAAACATAACTTTGTCACCCGACATCCAATCCAGTTGACTTAGGTTGGAATACAAAGTTAATTTAAAGGTTTTTTATTTTCTTATTTTGAAAACTGCCAAAATCAGACTAGAAAATAATCAAAATCACTTTCGGAGTGAAAACCACATGATAAAAAAAAAAAAACATTTAACATTTGAATAATATAAACACATAATAATATTAATATTATATGTGTGATTTTCAAAAATCAAAGTCGAATCAGAAATCATAATTTAACATACATTCCAACGAAGTTAAAAAAGTCTTGAAAAATCATAAATTAAAATTTCAAAATTAAAAATGAAAAAATATTATTACAAAACCGAAATTTTCCGTATTAAAATAGTGAAAAGTCAGAATTTCGGTTATAATTTCCACCCCTAGTATCTTCTATCAAATATGAAAGTTCATAAAACTCGGCCTAATCTCAAACAAAAGAAGAAAATTTCCACACGTCTCTATTAATGAAAATATTTGTAGCCCAATAACTATTAATAGACGAAGCCTTAGATTGAAATTTATGGCCGAAGTTTCTTCGGAATTAAAAGCACAAGTAGAAGCTAATGTTAGCCTAGCCAAAATAAGAGTCTCCATTTGTACTTGGTAGGGGTCATTGTTTTTAGGAGTTGTTAAATATGTTTTAATTTATTTTGGTACTTTTTTTTTTATTTCAAATAGATTTTAATCAATTTTTAGTTTGAATCAAGCAAAATTCAAAACACCATTTTTTTAAGTCTTTTGAGGTGGTTTTCTAATTCAACTTGAATCAAGTAGAATTGATGTTGATTGAGAGATACATAAACTAACAAACATCGGCTACAACTTTAGTATTTTAAGTTTTATAAAATCATAACTGTAACTCGTTCGTGCACAACTCTGCAACGTCCATTAAAAGAGTGTGCTAAATGTATGCACTTTTTTTTCCTTGTAATGAAGGTAGATATTAGAAAAAAAAAAAAAAAAACTTGTGAAATATTAGCAAACAAGCGAGGAGGGATCGATAAGGTAATCGGTCTCTTACACAATTTCCTTGAATTCATTAAATTTGTATCATTCATTAATCAATTTGTGACAAGTTTGTGTATGTTTAATAAATGCATATGTTTATCAATTGAAACTATCCAAGAATTTGATGGAATACAACAAATTGAATATTAAGAGTTTGATATAAACATATATGTATGCAAAAAAATATTAACATGTAAAATATTGTTCCAAAATCGAAACATTTATGCCGGATCGGCATAATTCGGAATTTCTCTACAATTTGCACCATAATTTTGCATCTCAAAGAAAAAGAAAAGGAAAAAATATTGCAGAAAAAAAGGGGGAGCGGGGTGGAGGTCCCAAGATATTCATCTGAATTCAAATTATATAATATTCAGTATGACTTACGTTCAACAAGGGGTGGTGGCGCAGTTGGCTAGCGCGTAGGTCTCATAGCTAAGTTGAGTGATCCTGAGGTCGAGAGTTCGAGCCTCTCTCACCCCATTCTGTTTTATTTTTATTTTTCTTCCCGGACCTCATTTATTTACTAGTTTCTTTTTGGTCCAGCCCTAGAATAACTAACTTGTCAAAATTTACTTTGTCTTTGTTAATCTTTATGATACGGGCCGGAATGCCCCAAATATCCAACCTTTAAGACATCGTACAACAAGGCCCAAGTATAAGCTCAGGCCCGCTATGAGGTAGTCCACTCTCGCCCCGTAAACTCTCCCCACGTAGTACAAATTTGACTTCATTGTGGCTTGACATAGGCGAAAATCTTGCAATTTGACATGAACTAGGGAAATACCCAATTGCCATCTAAAAATGAGTTTTCCCAGATTGCACCGATTCAGCTCGCTTTCAATAGACATGCAACCCAGGGTAATCACACCACACCCACGTGTGAGTGCGACCGAAGTTAGAAGAGGACCTCACTACCAGGGGCGGACCTAGGAGCTTTTTGGTGGGGGTCAAAACATGGGAATGAATTAAGAGGGAATTTTTTTTTATGGGCTAAAATGTATAAAATTTGATATCTTGAGGGGCCAAAGTCTATAAATGAATAGATAAATACCATAATAAAATCAAAAAACATAACAGAAAATTGGTAAAAAATAAAATAAAAAATTCTACAGGGGCGGGAGCCCGCAAGCCTATACATGGGTCCGCCCCTGCTCACTACCCACTCTTGAGTCCGGGTAAATACAACTTTGAGAACCAAAGAAGAATCACAGGTCGAAAAAAGAAATAAACATTCTACTTCACTATTTACACATTTTGTTCTCCACGATTCCTACCGACTTGATTGTTGGAGTGCTACCACCGGGAGGTACTTAACCGACACTCTTTTTTGCACGTTTTTTGGGGACTCTTTGGGCTCACTTTATTTAAAGCCCACATCGTCTCCCTTTTCCTATTATTAGCCAAATTGGCTACATCAATATTAAAGTTGTGAAATTTATTTTATGAGTAAACTGCAAAAACTACCCCTGTGTTATCTCGAAATAGCAAAAACCCCCCTGTGATAAATAAACTAGCAAAAACCCCCCTGTGAAATTTAGTCAAAGGCAGAATCCCCCCTAGCTGATTTTTTAGACTTGAAATGACAAAATTGACCCTCAAAATGTATTTATATATATACATATTATATGTATATTTATTCTTTTTAATTTATTTGTTTAGAAATTAAAAAAAATAGTAAACAACTAAATTGATTATTTTTTAAATAAAATAATTAAAATATTTATAAAATATAAGAATTTATTAATTGCAAGACTCCAGGGGTATTTGTGTCTTTTTATATCAAGTCAACCCTCAAATAGTTCCATAGGGGGGTTTTTGCTATTTAAATAATTTCACAGGGGGGTTTTTGCTAGTTTATTTATCACAGGGGGGTTTTTGCTATTTTGGGATTACACAGGGGTAGTTTTTGCAGTTTACTCTTTATTTTATATTACAAAGATTCTATAGCATTATTAATGGTGACAAGTGACAATTATGTTAGCCTAATTAGAGGAGAAAAATCAGGGCAGTCGTAAACATATAAATCTCTTTACAACATTATATACCACTATATTGTCTTTTCAATGATTAGTATTATCAAATTATCAAGGCTTAATCCCATTTTGCACCCTTAAAATGGAGCCTTTTGACACTTTGCATCCTTGAAAAAAATAATAGCACTTTGCACTCTCAAAACACAATAAATCATTCACAATGCACCTTAATTGAATAATAAATGATAATTTATTTTTATTGTTTTTTTTTTCCAGGCTGCAAAATAACAAATTAAATTGTTATTTTCTTCAACCTCCGACCTAATTTCGAGCGCACAAAGTGCGAAAAAATAAAATAACACCGGGCAATTGAAAAAAAATATTTTCTTACAAAATAAAAATCAAAATAAACTTTTATCACTAAATTATTCGATCGATAGATCTTTTATTGTTATTGGTGGAAATATTAGGCATAAATATTTGGAAGAAAATATGATTTTCAGATAATTTGATAACGAAATAGCCGAATAAATTTATTTTTTCGTAAAATATTTTTTTTGTGATAAAAAATATAATTTTTAAATACCACTAAAAATATTAAATTACCTTTATTAGCTTTAAAAACTCATGTAGGGTGCATTATGCATGATATATTGCGTTTCGAGGGTACAAAGTGCTATTAATTTATTTCGAGGGCGCAAAGTGCCAAAATGATATATTTTAAGGGTGTAAAGTGGAATTAAGGCAATTATCAATTATGTGGCTCACACCAGTTTTTAGCATAAACCAACCCCTTTCTCATTCTTTTTCAAAAATGAAAACTACAAGTGCTCCTTTTTTTTGGTAACGATTACGTGCACGCACGTACTGAATTAATCTTCATTTTTGTACGGTAGTTTATAAATCATACGAGAGTAAACCATTAGGTATAAGTCATTTCTGACAAATTTAACCTAGAAAAAGTAAGGGAATTCGAATTCGGCTAATTTGGCATATAAGAACAAATTAATTTCACATGATTTAAACCATATCCTAATTCTTATCACATATTTGAACGTTTCAAAAAAAAAAAAGACACAATAAAAATTTACAAGTTGGTAATTTGACATACTTTACTAATTCTATCATAGAACAAAACTTCAAAAAAAAAAAGAAAAAAAAAAGAAAAAAGAGAAAACTATTGAAGCGTTTTCAATATATATATTTCGAATTCATGGCTAGCAAGAACGGAAGGATAGGGCACCAGTACGGTGGTAGAGATGGTGGTGATGGTGATTGTGACCATCGGAATATTCCTTCTCAATTCCCCACCGAAGATGGTGGAAATCGTCGACGGAGCACGGAAGCTTTAGAGGGCCGACGTCGTTGTATCCATAGGCGTCACGAGCTTGATCGAGAAGCTTCTTGAAGAACGGATGGTATAGGTACGAAATAGGTATGGTGAATCTTTCAAATTCTTCGTCTTCTAAACCAACCCTAACCGCAATAAACCCTTTTTTCACCTTCATTTTCTTGTTCACCTGCATAATACTATGATGATTGATCTCCATTTTTTTTACAAGGAAAATCAATGAGAATCTTGATGAGGGTTTTTTCACTACTTCTTTTGTGAACTTGTGTGTGTATATGTATATACCTATATTAATTGTGGCCTAGGTATATATATATAAACACACAAAACACACACACACTCACAAACGTTGACTCTTGACTTTGCCCACAAACTTAATTTTGGAACCTTTTGTTAATGGGGTCTGTTAAAATAAAAAAGA